AGGCCCTTCTGCAGTGGTTACGAGTATGGGCCTTGGATTCACTGCGCTGTCTGGGTTCAAATCCCAGCCCTGCCACTGGAACCCTGTATGAGAAGCATTTTAAACAGTGCGTCACATGTTGCATGTAATAAAAGAAAGGCTTAGCGGTTAATACCCGGGGCTCAGAAAAGCCAGGGGTAGGGTTATCTTGGAGTACAGCATCCCTTAAGTCAAAGGACATCCAAGAAGGGCTGAGTGGGATTACTTCTGGTGGTTCACAAGATGCAGGTTTGGGAAGGAGCTCATCATGTGCTTGGTTCTTAATACCCAGGAGATCGTCCCATATTATTACGATTTCAGGGAAATGTCACAGGAGGGGAAATTCTGCTGCTGCTTGCTCCATGCCAAGCTGTTTCCCTGAGTCACCGCTCTGCCTTCTCCACCAGGCATCTCTGCTCCCTCCTCCGCATCGTTACATTCAGGGCCAGACTTGGTGTGGGTCGTGGGTGGGAAGCGGAGGGTTCGTGTGGGCCAAGCCCGTGGAATTGCTGGCCTTGGCTCTGCAGACAAGGCCGCAGGAAGAAGCCTTTCAGATCAAAGGCGAACCATTTCCCAGTGATTCAGTCCACAGTGGCTGTCACTGTTCCAAGTTTAGAGATGAAATGCACTTAGCAGTGTATCCCCGTCAGAATTAAATCATTACAGAAGAGAAAAAATTTTGACTCAGCTTTCTGGAAAAGGTCCTTGTGTTGGCTTCGTTACCACGACGACAGCCAGCGTCTCTGTGCCATCCTATTGTCAGCGGAGGCCTGGCCTTCTCTGCTGCAGCCCGGAGGTGTTTAAGGAGTACTGCTGACCTGCTGTCTCGTGCTGTTGAAGGATGCTGAATCCAGCAGGCATTTCCTAATTTTCCTTGCTAAGAGCCTTCATGGAAGGCCCCTGCTGCTGACAGATGTGTCTGTTGTTTGGAAGCTATTAAATTTCTAACCCTTGGATATAGCCACTGAAGTCTCATTAGCTCCGGGGGGAATCGCATGTTTGCAACAGCAAGCAGCACTGGGGGTTATGAGACTAGAAACTCTAGAACACTCTGTGGTGTGGGCAGGGTTGGGCCAGAGCTGCCTTCTCACTGAGCTGTACTTGGTTTCCCCTTTGTTTCTTGGTAGGCTTTGGCAAATCACCTTTTACCAGTTCAAAGTTGCTTGTAGGTGTATTCATTTCTAATATCCCCCCCCCCTTCCGTGGAATTAAAGGATTTTAAAATTTGAGAGAAGGTCTAGGAGCTGGGCCTGGTGACGGCTGTAATTCTAGTGCTTCTGAAGCAGGAGGATTGCTGCAAATTTGAGGTCAGCCTGGGGAACATAGTTCAAGGCCAGTCTGAACCGCATAGTGAAACCCTGTCTCAAAAAGACAGAAAAGAGAGAGAAAAAAGGTCTAGGGATGTAGCTTAGTAGTAGAGTGCTTGCCTGGTATGTTTTAGGTCTTGGGTTTTTGGTTTTTTGGGGGGGTCTGATTGTTTTTTTGAGACAGGGTCTCTCACTATGTAACTTCAGTCTTCTGAGTGCTGGGATTACAGATGTGCACCTCCACGCCCAGCTAGGCTTTGGGTTCTATCTCCAGCACCACTCCTGAAAAACGGCAGCTGAAGAGGACTTTAAGTCTCCTTACCCGGGAGTCTTTAATGTATAGGGCACCTCTGAGGAAGCAAAGCAAGCTGTGGTCCCCCTGCCCTAGAAGCTCCATGTGCAGAACTGTGGTTTATGCTTTGTGGATTCCTGAAGTGCTTACAGGAATTCCAGGCAAGAACTTCTGGTTTGGTTTCTTTCTAACCCCCTTTTCCAGTTTTATAGGTGAGGTCCTGAGGCCCTAAGGGGCGAAGAGACCTGCCTGGACATCCTTTTGCTTTTTGGCATCATTTCTCTGGCCTGGTTGCCCCTGGTAATAGATTGCTGTTCAATCTGTTCGCAAAGTGCCAGTCCAGCCCTCTCCAGAACGGCGGTGGAGGAGGAGAGAAGGTGGCTCTCGTTTGTGGGCCACAGTTCGGTGTGGGATCTCAGACTCTGCCCCCGCACACACCTTACTGGAGCACCCGTCCCTGGAAGCCTCCTTAAAACACATCCGCTCCTCTGTGATGCTGGAGGTCTGGGGCAGGGCTTGAGAACTAGCATTTCCAGCACATTCTCAGGTGCTGTTGCTGCTGCTGCTGGTCCCAGGAGCCATCTCCCCAGGGCACCTCAGCCTCAGAGGTTTCCGACTGTCCAGGAGGAGTTGGCGTCCTTGGTGACACCAAGGGACCCCGAATGTGGCCTGGCTATTTCGACCACTGTGCCCTGTGTGGTGCCAGCTCTCTGACGGGACCACTTGAGATGTCTGTGTGGGATACTGTTTGTCGTCGTGGCGGTGGGGGCCTTAGGGAATCATGGCAGAGAGCAAAGTGGGAAGCAGGGAGGCGCACCCTTGTTTTTTCCCTGAATGCGCCCTCACTCTCCTGTTGAACAATTCTCCTCTCAGAATCTACTCAGAAACTGAAAGCCTAGAGACCACAGCCTTTGCCTTACATGCTCTCTGGTTTGGCCTGGCCAGAATACTGTTTTTCCCCAGGATATATTTCTTTTGACTCCGGAAACACCTTTCTTTGTTGTTGTTTTTGAAACAGGGCCTCATAATACAGTCCAGGCAGGCTTTGAACTCGCTGTGTAGCCCAGCCTGGCCTTGGGCTTTGGCAGTCCTCCTGCCTCTGCCTCCCTGGTGTTGGGATTCCAAGTGTGCACCACCACGCCCAGCTCCAGAAACATCTTTCTTAAACATTTATAATCTGACACTCGGGCAGATTTCTGGGGCTGTCAGGTCTATGGAGAACAAACCCCAGTCTCCTCCGTGTTCTGGAACCCTGGAGCCATCCAGGCCCGACTTTATCCATCTGTGACAATTTTTATCCTGAGAGCCTCCTTTGCTTGCTCATTATAGGCTTTGGTTTGCACCTGCTGCCTTTTTATGTGAAACCAAACCTTCAAAATACTTTAATTTCCCTTGTTTTGATATCGTTAATGTCGCCCAGGCACACGGTGAAAACAGTACATAAGGGTATCTGGTGAAAAATAATCCTGCCCGTTCCCTCCAGACTGGTGTTCCCGAGGCGCACCCTGTCCCCGCGCACAGCTCTGCAGAACTGCGGTGCTTCTTAGGAGTGGTTTCATTGCTGTAAACAGCCGTGTGTGTGTGTGTGTGTGTGTGTGTGTGTGCGTGCGCGTGCGTGCATGTTACCTCTTTTGGGGGGAGATGTGTGCTGGCCCTTGAATGGGGCTAGACACATTTTTTGCGTTTGATGTATCACGGATCCGTTCATGACGAGCTGCCTTGTATTCTGTTTTTCTCTCTTTGTCCTGGTGCTGGGAGTGGAACCCAGGACCTCACAGGTGCTAGGCCAGTGCTGTGTCCTCCCATGGAGCCCACCCCCAGCCCCACCTCATCATCCAAAGTGGTGCAGAATATTCCTTTCTGTCCGTAACCTTGTTACTCTGGTCCTCAGTGGACAGTGGTTTTTTCTAGCCCTTGGTTCTCTGCACAGCACCACAGCGGGGCTGTCTCGGGAGCACTGCACCCCTCGAAGGCTGTATTCATAGGGGTTTCTAGCAGGGGACTGGGACAGCTCTGTGGAGCAAGTGGGAATTGGCACAGCTGTGTGGAGGAGGCTTGCTTTGCGGAGCGTGGCTGCCCCAGGGTGCCCTCTAGTGCTGCTGAGTGCCTTTGGGTTAACCTTCAGGGTCTCCACACCCCCACCTTGGATTCTGTGAAGTGACCCCAGGACCCTTGGGCCTGTCCCCTCAGGGTACCTGCGTTTAGCGTTTATTTCCTCTCAGGGTTGGGTCTCTGGAACATGGGTTCAGTGAGGCAGGAGAGGCCCGTCATGGTCTCCTGGAAGCTGCCTGGCCTTCCACCCAAGAGGAACCTCTGGGGGGTCTTGTGTGTGGCCCTGGTGAGACCTCATCCACCTCTATCAGAGGACGAGGGAGACAGCAGTGCACCTATAACCTGCGTGCCGGGACTTGCTAAGTGGTGAAGCTGGAGGAGGAACCCGAACGTCTTTGGGGATAGTCATCTTCCTGCATTCCACATCCCATCCGTTCCCTGTGCCCTCATGTGCTCCTCCGTCCTCTTCCGGTGTCCGAAGCTTTCTCGCCTCAGGATATAAGGCGTAACGAGTTGGGACATTATTGCCTCTAACAAGACCACCGGTGGCCATGGAGTGGACTCCAGCCCTGGCAGGTGAAGACGGGATGAGGAGGTGGAGGACCGTTTCACAGAGGTCCTGAGCACATGAACAAGGGTGGCTGGACACGCGGGTGGGGTTGGTGTGTTTCTGAGCGTGGAGGAGAATGCTATTCATGCCGATCTCTTTGGAGGGCGCCCTTAAGCACAGTGTCCACTGATGCTGGGCCTCGGGGATGTTCCCGTGGGTGGGGTTTATTCCTTTTACACAGGTACACTTTGTTAGCCTAAGGAGCTTCAATAAACACTGTTGCCTTCCACAAAGAACTATGAACGTCTCTCACAGTTTCTTGATTTTTAATATTGGCTGAGAGTGAGAGGTGCCTGTGTGACATTGGTGGCTTGGTCATGCATGGCCTTATTAACAGCAATGCAGTAAGATGGGGATCGTGGCAAAATACAGGGACATGCCATCTGCTGGGGGAGACTGTTATCCCTGTTTCCGGTGCCAGAGAGGCCTGTGTGCCTGGATTAGTTACTTTTCTTTTTTCTTTTTTTTTAAAGAGAAGCCAAAAGTCTGGGTTACTACAAGAAGCCTGCCACGTTTTAATAACATGTTATGTAGGTTGCAGAAAGACTGTCTGACCTGTGGGACAGCCAAGAGAGAGGGAGGGAGGCCAGGAATATCCTGGGAGGAGGAGCAGCACTGCAATGGCCCTGGGTGGGAGTGGGGGGCTCACCCTCACCCCTCTCTGTGGGATCCGGGCCTCCCTGGCTGTTTTAAAATGTGTGGTCGTGTGCGTCTCTTTCAGATCCTGGCTCTGCAGAGAGAACGGCCCAGAAAAGAAAGTTCCCCAGCCCTCCACATTCTTCCAATGGCCACTCGCCACAAGACTCCTCAACGAGCCCCATTAAAAAGAAAAAGAAACCCGGCTTACTGAACAGTAACACTAAGGAGCAGGTAAAGGAGCCACCGGGAGTGGCATCCGCAGCCAGCGGGACAGAGGCCAGCGAGCAGCATGGCCGCTCCCCGGCGTCCCAGGGCTGGTGACTTGGCATTGACGTGGCATGCTGCCTGGCACTGCCTGGCCTTGGCGTAGGACGAACAGGGCAGTTAGCAGGGGCCTTGTAAAAACCTTTCCAGCACGTTTAGAGAGCTGTTCGTTGGGGACAGAGCAGTGACCCAGACGAGATGCGGGTATTGTTCTTGGGGGGTGGAGGCGGGCTTTTCCTTAGATTAATCTTTTCCATGCAGCCCGAGGACTTTTTCCCTCCTGGGCCGCTTTAGGCCTGTTTGTCTGGAGGTGGGTGTTTGGCTGAGGTCTGCACCCTGCTGGTCTCATTTTCTCATCTGTAAAATGAAGGGCTTAGGTCTGGTGCGAGGCATCACCGGGGCAGACACCGGTCATGGGTTACCGTGTCTTTATTCTTCTGGGCACACAACCCACCTGGCCCAGCAGCCGACTCCATGCAGGAATCTGTCACTGTCTGGGGTCTTGTCGGAGGAACCTGTTAGCTAGATGGATGCAGACTAGATATTCTTCCACGAGGCATTAATCTGGACTCCCTGGTGGAATGTGTCTGGCCCCTCCGTGGGTCTGAGGTCAGCTCCCCTAGCCCTGGCCCCGGCCCTGGGCAGGGATTCCTGGGAGAGAGTCCTTCCATTCTGAGCACCATAGAAACTGCAGCAGCCTGGGGCTTGGCGTTTGAGTGAAGCAGGATGACTTCCTGCTTTCACAGGAAGAGACCGAGCAGTGGTTAACTGTAAGGTGACTGCGAGACGTGTGTGTGTTTCTGAGGACAAGCCAGTTTTCACTCTCCAAATTACGTAGCAGAGTGCCAGCTCTGCCTTTTGCTTGGTGGCTGCAGGCGAGTTAACCTCTTGGCATCTAGAAGCTGAAATGGGGGGATCCTGAGCAAGCTGTTCGTTCTGCAAGCTTGTGAGGACCAGTGAAGCCAAAGGACCCATGCAATAATAGTAATGTTAGGAACTAAGCCAGGCTCTGTACTAAGTAGATTAATCATATGATCTGTACACGAAACATGCAACATCTGTAAAAATGTTCTGGACCCATCCTGTCCCGCACGGTAGCCATAAGCCACAGGGGCTCTTGAGTACTTGGGAGTGGCTAGTGTGAGTAAAGTCAGTTTTTCAATTCATGTAATGTAAAGGTAAGTGACCGCTCAAGGCTCATACCGACATGTTGCATGGCTAAGATCTAAAGCCAGTAAGGAGTCACCGTTAGAGGGGAGGAAATTGGGGGAGCCTACAGATATTTCGAGGGGCACTGCAATTTGAAAAAAAAGAAAAAAGTAATAGTGTTGATAATGATAATACCAAAAGTTAGTTGGGCCTGGTAGTGCATTTCTACAGATTATAATCCCAGCCCTGTGGGAGGCTGAGGCAGGAGGCTCTTGAGTTTAGGACCAATCTGGGCAAATTAGGGACTTAGTGAGAGCCTGTCTCAAAATAAAATTAAGCAAAGAAAAAAGACTAGGGATGTAGTTCAGTGTGAAGGGTTCAATTTCTAATACTCAGACAACCCATCCCAAAAGGATTTGCCATGTTGCCTACTGTTGTAAACATATTTCTCTTAATCTTCATGTTTGTGAGAATCCTGGAAAGAAGGGCTACAATCACCCCCATTTTGCTGATGGAAACACTGAGGTTCACAGAGGTTGTTTCTTCCTTAAGGTCTCAAGGCAAGTAAGAAGCTGCATTTGAGTTATGTCTGCCTGTTTGGCTTGAATCTGGTGACAACCGCCCTCTGCGACCCAGAAGCCTTCTCGTAGCGGTCAGAACTGGGGACTAAGAAAGCACTATGACAGCCACAGATAACCTCAGAATTTAGCCAGTAATTCCACTTCCTGGGCCAACACTCTCCTAGTTAGCAGGAGGCTGGCAAAGCAGATAAGCACCAGACAGCCATCTCTCAGCCCCCTACTCCTGCAGGCATACTGTGAGTCCCCACCTGGTCCCTCCAGTCTGCTCCTGTCGCCAAGAGACCTGGCCATCGTGTCCCCGCTTCCCTGTCCCGTGTGTAAATACCAGCTGTGTAACACTTAAGCCGCAGGAAAGTGGTAAGGCTCGTAGCCTCCGATCAGTGGCCACTGTCCAGGGCTCGCCTCCAGTGTCACACAGGGCGGGCTCAGGAGCATTCAGGCTGTGAGAGACAGCAGGGCCGGGTGGGAGGGCACAGGCCCGAGCCTGTCCCTGGGTGACCAGTTGGCTGCGGAATTCCCATAAAAGAGAGACAGCTTTCTGCCCGCACACGTGACTACTATGTCGGGCATCTGGGAGACTGTGTGACCTCGTGGTCCTTTCTTTTGAGCTTCAGTTCTGTCGGAAAACTAGGGGTTTCGGCCAGGAGGTTGACGCTAGGTTTGCCCCTCTGATCTCACACTCCGATCCCGGGCATAACAACCTGGCAGGAGAGCTGTTGGCACAGAACAGCCTTAACCAGGAGGGTGACATTCCTGGCCCTTGACCCCTCATTCCTGCTGGCTTGTTTGCAGAGTAGGGCAATTCCTCCAGCACTGTTTTCCTCGAGGGGAACTTAAATACTAAAAAAAAAAAAAATTATGCTGTTGCCGTTGCTTCTCTTTCCTGCAGACGTCATGTTCGGCTAACGTAATTTCTGTTAGTCACCAACACTTGAGGGCTGTGAGATTTCAAAACGCGGATTTTTGAATTCCTTTTCTTCCTTTCCTGCCTCCCCCTTCCTTCCCCTCCCCTCCTCCCCTTCTTCCTCCTTTTGCCTTGCTGGCGGTGCTGAGGATGAAACCCAGGGCTTTGCAATGCCAGGCAAGCCAGAGCTGTGCCAAGTGCGGTGTCTCACGGGGGACCACGGTCAGGCCCGTGTGCAGAGCCCCTGGAGACGGGCATGAGTGCCACCCCTTTTCCAGGTGAAGGCTGCCCTTTCTCCAGGGTTTGTAGTACTGTGTGTTTATCAGATACAAGGTGAGAGCTGACGTTTTCTCGGATGTGGTGCCTGTGTGGCCTCCGCAGGAATCGAGTTTGGTTTTTCCAGGCCCTGTGTGTAGACCCTGTGCTCACACACAGCTGGACACCTCTGCGGAACTTTGTGTAGCCTGTGGTCCGAGAGCCTTTTTCTGTTTTTCTTTCTTAAAGTACTAGGGATTGACTCTAGGACCTTCTCACTAAGCTACATCCCTAGTCCCTCCCCCGCCCCTCTGTTCCTTTCTTTCCTTTTCTTAGTTTTTGTTTGAGATGAATTTTTGCTATGTTGTCCAGGCTGCTCTCAAATTTGTAATCCTCCTGCCTCAACTTCCTGGTGTGCTGGGATTACCCAACAAGAGCCTGTTACAAATGAAATGTTATTGGCACGCATCTCCATATATTCATTTTTATATTGTTTCCAATTTTGCCTTAGTAGAGACTGCTTGGTCTGCCAAACCTCTCTTAATTATTATTAATTTTTCTTATCTTTTTTTTTTTGTTGTTTGTTTGTGAAACAGGGTCTTACTGTGTGTTCAGGCTGCCCTTGAACTCACTAGGTAGCCCAAGCTGGCTTTGAACTCATTGAAATCCTCCTGCCTCAGCCTCCAAGGGCAGAGATTACAAGAATGTGCCACACCATGCCTGGCACTTATTATTCTTTTTTTTCCTTTTTTTTTTTTTTTTTGTCTTTTTCCTTTTTATCGGTACCGGGAATCGAACTCACGACTGCCTGCTTGCAAGGCAGGCGCTTATGCCGCTGAGCTAAATCCCCAGCCCCCACCTATTATTCTTACAGAGCTCTTCCTAGAAGCAGTTTGCCTGCTGTTGACTCAGATATTCTAGAAGTAAATGAGCAGGACTTCTTTAACCCAGCCTGTGTGGCGGGAACAGGGGAATAAGAACATCTGCTCTCCTCACCCGCAGTTGTCCCTGAGTGACACAGGTTGCAACCTGTCCTTTCCGTCAGGCCAGGCACGTACCAGATACATGTGGGGGAGAGAAATCATCCTAACTTATTTTACCTGAAATGATTCGCTTTTCCTTTTAAAAATGTTCCATATTGCTTATCAGATTATTTTTATGGAGCTGTAAACACTTACAAGCAGCGGATAAGGGAAGCATGTGATTGACGAGGAGATGGAGCAGGCCGTGTGAGTCCTCAGCACTGCTGCTGCTGCTGCCGCTCCAGAGCGGAGTGGCCTGTGTGTCCCTGTCCTCCAGGACACTCAGCCCCAGCCAGGGAGGTGGGGGAGAAATGCCCTGCGACCGAAACTTAATTCTTTGATCACTAAACTCGCTTCTGTTCAATTGCGAGCACCAAACTGAATAAAATAAAAAAATAAAAAGGAAACCAAAACCCAAAAACCCCAAGATTGTGGTCTTGGGTTGCAGGTTAGGGAATGAATGTTGAATTTTGACTATTTGAATTTTCAGTTTCGTTTAGATCTTAATGACTGACTCTGATGTTTTGTTTTGAGTTTTGGTCTTTTTGGGACAGGGCCTCGATAACCAGTTCAGGCTGGCCTTAAATGCACTTTGTAGCCCAGCCTGGCCTTGAACTCTTGGGGATCCTTCTGCCTCAGCCTCCCACGTGCTGAGATGATAAACTTCTGCCACCATACCTGACCCTGACTCTGATTGTTAATTTATTGGGAGTAAGTGTTTGGTATTATACATGTGACTACTTAGGGGTTTTCCCTTCCTTTCCTTCCTTCCTTCCTCCTCCTCAGACAGGGGGCAAAAAACATAAGAGGTCCATTAAGTTGATGCATTGACCTTGGGATCCTCCTGCCTCAGCCTCCACTTGCTGGGACTATAGGTATGCGCCACAGTACCTGGCTTCTCAACCTCCCTATTTCCCTCGGTAGGAAACATTTTCATAGGCAGAGAGCAGACCTGGGCAGATCAGTTTGGCCCGCAGGGTGCCCCACGTATCCTGCAGGGCCGAGGAAGCTCCCCACCGAGGCTCAGCCCATCATGGCCACTCATGAAGGTTTCTAGTAGCTTTCCTACTAGGGAATGGAGCCGACTGGGAGGCCAGGGCTCAGATCATCTTTTTTTTTTTTTGTCTATCGGTACGGGGGATCGAACTCATGACTGACTTCTTCCAAGGCAGGTGATTATGCCACCGAGCTAAATCCCCAGCCCCCAGATCAGTCTTTTTAACTGATTCCCCTGCCATCTGTCAGCTTGAGCTAGTGGTGTCCATGCTGTGGGCCTCCTGGGTGGCTGTCAGGAGAAAACAAAGATGGTTTGTGTAGCAATATGTTGCAAAATGTGCCATGTAAAGTCTATGATAGCAGTGCAGTTGTTACCTGGAAACCAGATAGATTGGATCTGAAAAGTTGAACTGAAACAGGGAAATAATCACCAGGTGAAAGAAGTAAGCAGTCACTTAAGGGGACTTAGCTTTCTGCTTAGTCGGGAGGCTTAGCAGACAGTTTGCAAAGGTGTGCTAAATACACATCAGGGAGGCCGGAGAACTGTGGCAATTCCAGACATTCTGAGGACATTAATTTAAAACCTGATCATAAAAGCCAAGAGCAGGATGTGAGATGCATGTGGTATTTGTGATTCTCAACGTCTTGGAAGACCTAGCCATTCAAATCAGGAAAACTGGAACCCCAGCACTGCGGAACAGCACACCAACAAAGCCAACAAGCTGGACAGTGACAAGTACCTAGACATGAGCAGATAAGACTGACGTTGCCTAGAAGTGTTAATTCCCCAGTCCACAAATGACTGTGTCTGACGGCATTATTAAAAGTCCAATGGTATTTCTCCTCAGGTTAACCACTTAGAAAAGGAAATGAAAGAAGATCTCGTGTACGATTATCAGCAAAATTACTAAGTATTTAATTCTGAAGTGAGGTGTTGAGGGCTGAAACCGTAATGTTACAAAGGACGGAGAAGTAGTCCCATGACAGTGTGACTGGGCTGCTGTGCATGGGTTAGTGCCATGGAACTGAGAAAGTAGCTTGCACAGTGTCGCGAAGGTCACGCAGCTGATGACCACAGTGTCCTGACCACTTGCCCATTGGACTTTCTCATGCTTCCTCAGCTGTGTTTCCTGTCGGTGTCTGACGGACATTTTCCTAACAAGTTTCTTCCATTGACTTTGTTGGAGCACATCTTTGCTGTGTTCTAGAATATCTAGAGAAAGATTGCTCCTGACGTTTTGGGACAGGAAGAGGTGTGGCGCTGGTGATTACCCACCCCTCTCACCCTCTGCCAGCACTGACTGGTTCTAGTGAAGAGAAGTCCTTTCCCCAGCAAACACAGGCCCCTAGCATGTTGGAGAGGCGTGGCTTTAGGAAGCCTCTTATTGGCTCCTGAAAAGTTGTTGTATCCTTGGGTGTTGACTTGAATGATCAAATCCAGTTGCTCTCTATTCCAAGTGGCTACTGTTTAAAATTCCTGGGGCCCGTTCCCATACTTTTGTTGTCTTTGTGACTATAAACTGACTTCCTGTGGCTTCACAACTGTACTGGTAATGTTAGTAATGGCAACTGTATTAAATGCATACATTGTTATTATCCTATTTAATTTTTATGCAATACCATGCAGTTGGGTATTATCTCCATTTCACAGATGAGAAAATTGAGGCCGAAAGGTGATGAGATATGTCCAAAGTCCTGCAGCTCATTAATGGTAGAGTTCAAATTTGTACCCGGGGGTTATACTTGTGCTGCTTAGTAAGTCTCAGATCCTAGCTTTCTATCTATGGGCTTTTAAAATAGAAGAAAAAAAAAATCATAGTCTTTAATGATGTACTGATGCTGTAGTTAGTAGAGTGACCCAGGATAGCTTGGCTTTTTCGTGGATTTGTGAAATGCTGTAGTTTTCTCGTGTTGTGATTGATGTACTTGTAAATACCTGTTGAGAATGCACATTTGTTTTGAAACCAAACCTGTCTTTCTTGCCTACATTTCAGTCAGAACTAAGACATGGTCCGTTTTACTATATGAAGCAGCCACTCACCACAGACCCTGTTGATGTTGTACCGCAGGATGGACGGAATGATTTCTACTGCTGGGTTTGTCACCGGGAAGGCCAAGTCCTTTGCTGTGAGCTCTGTCCCCGGGTTTATCACGCTAAGTGTCTGAGACTGACATCGGAACCAGAGGGGGACTGGTTTTGTCCTGAATGTGAGGTTAGTTCCTGATGAATGAATGCGTAATCTGCTTCGTTTCCTCTCTTTTCACTTCCTTCCTTTTACTTTTAAATTTTCAACTAACCAGATTGAGGGGAAAGAGGAATTGCTTGCCTTCCACCTGCTCTATTCTGGCCACCCCTTTTTTGGACCAATGTCGGTGCTGGCCAAAGCCCTGCAGCTCTGTGAAGACCACTGATAACCGTGTGTATTGCTTTTGGTTCCTCGTGCGTCTGGCTGGCTTTGAGATCTGCAGCCGTCTCTGCTTCTGCAGCAAATATCCGGAAAGCTCACGCGTTACATTTAATTCACCTGGTGTGGAAAGCACGTCGCGCTGTTTCTCCCTTTCCTGGGTGTTGTGTCTTCTGCATCAGGAGCAGCAGCAGCCGCAGCAGGAGCAGCAGGAGCAGCCAAGCGGCAGGACGGGTTTCAGCTGTGGGCTCCTGACGCTTTCCTTCATGCCACAGACTCTTCACAAGGGCCTGTGAGCTGCTGGGATTCAGCAGAGCACCGGGACAGACACAGATCACGTTCTCCATAGAGAAAAGCAGAAGTCACAATAAAAGCACATGTAATAAGTTGGTCGGGGATGCTTTAGAGAAAGGAGTGAAGGTGAGCAGTAGAAGCCAAGATGCAGGGCCGTTCCTGTTGTAATGCCCAGGCCTGGGGAGCCGCACTGACCGATGAGTGGGGCCTGCAGAGTGAGCCCCATTGCCCCCTGGGGAGCCCTTCCCGGTGCAGGGTCTCAGGTGCAGGATGGCGGTGGCTCTTGGTTTGTACAGAGCACTGACCCCCCTCAGTCAGCCAGTCATTCGGGCACCACTGTTCTGAGGTGGCTTCTGGTCCCCGGTAGCTCCCAACCAGGATCCTGAAAATGAGGAAGTCATCTACCAAACCACTGCAGAGGATACGTTTTGGATTTCAGAGCACACTGGTCTTTGATCTCAAATGAAGAAGGTTTTTCTGTGTGAAAAAGAAAAATAACTCAGATGTCTTGAAAACAAATCCAATTTGTGAGGTATTACCTGACATGCCACTTGTGTGCACCGAGGGTAAAAAGTAAGAAATGTGTGAAAAGAAATTCTATCACCTCAGCGTGATGATGACATTGTCACAGGATTCTGCCTCTAACAGGCAGAAGATGGCTGCTCGTTCTCTGGTGCTCACACGCTGTGAAGATGTGTGTGGCCTAAGCTTTGGTCAGCCATGTCTATCTCTTTGGAGCTTGAGCTCATTCTGCACCGTGTAATGTGGGACCTGGAGTTTTTGCCAATTTTCTTTTGTCTTAAGGAGCTCCCCCCGTGTTTAATGAAATTGCCAGATAGATACTTTCCAGGAAGTGATGGTCCCTGCTGAAACATGGCTGAACAATGGGGGACTGTCATCATCATGTGTAAGAGGAATCCCAAGGCAGGGAGTTGTGGGCCAGGCTCATTCCATCTCATTCTTGAGGTGATCTGTGATTCTGTGGCCCAGAGATGGCCCCTGGCATTTCTGGTGTCCTGTGGATGGCCAAAAGTACCCTCAGGGAAACACCCTTCTTAGCCAGCAGGAGCGTACCCATCATCCTTCAGCTGATTGGCCTGGAGGCTTTGAGTTTTACCCATCATTCATTGCTCCAGCTAATTTATTTAGGCCAATCGGTCAGCCGTGGATTGCCAGTTCCCATGCAGAATGGAGGCTCGACCAGGCTTGGCCCAGCTCTTTCTGAGATGTGAGAAGCAGATGCCCTCCTCTATAGCACCTGGGACCAAATTGGAATGCAAACCTGCAAGTGACTTAAGATTAGGGCCCCGAGTTTCTTCCAGGGGAGAATTGGGAAGGCAGACAGCTGGGAACTCGAGCTGCTCCAGGCTTTCGTCACCAAGCAATTAGATACATGCGTCAGACCCTGTTTTCAGCTTCTGAATGACTCATACGTGGCCCTTTTCCTCGACAACTGACCAGACACATCTGAGAGTTCCTTTTGGAGGCCCCAGAGATGTGAAGAATGGAAATTAGATCCAAATTAATTGAAGAAAACATCTGAGCTCTCCTTCCACAGATGGTTGGAATGTTTCCTGACCTCAGCAGGATTTGCTATTTTTGTTTTTGCAACTACATAGATCTTCTAAATCCCCGAGACAGAGAGTTCCAGATCTACATAGCAGAATCCGGTTTCAGCCATTGCTCTTTGGGTTGGGATTTCCCTTATAGAGTGGCATTTACTGTCCACAGAGATAGGCAGGCGGGCTGTTCCCCTGCGGAAGTTGGCCAGGATATCCTGAGTGGGTTCACATCCACGGAGAGTGATGGACCATGAAGTCACGTTTATTATTAGCGCGCTCCCATCCCTGAATTCTTTCTATGGAAACTCTGTCCCTTTTCACCAGCGATGTCATGGAGATGGCCTCGCCCGTCTCCTGAACACAGCTCAGAGCCTTCCAAGGATCCAAATAAGTGGTTGATGACTGTTCATCCTGTGGAGAGATCACCTTGAAACCAGCAGTGGCCTTTCCTGTCAGGGCCCGCTCTTGAGACAAAAGGTTGTCATTACGAGTCTCTTCCCGGTCCCAGTCTGCCCACACCTTCCCAGAGCATGTCCTCTCCGTGAGTTAGCAACACTTCCGAATACGGAAATAAACGGATCGGTGTGCTCTGTAAGCTTTACCTGCAGCTCAGTGCACTTTGTTCTAGGGGACTGGAGTCCTTGCCAAGCAAATGTATTCTTTCCCAGTGAGATGGGAATTACTTTCTTAGGTGTGAGAAACCAAAGTAGGAGGAGAGTACAGACTGAGTTGTAATCTCTGTTCTCTAACCGGACGTGTGTGTGTGTGTCTGTGTGTGTGTGTGTGTGTGTGTGTGTGTGTGTGTGGTTTTGACTTTTAGAAGATTACAGTAGCAGAGTGCATCGAGACCCAGAGCAAAGCCATGACCATGCTGACCATTGAGCAACTGTCCTACCTGCTCAAGTTTGCCATTCAGAAGATGAAGCAGCCAGGGGTAAGACGTGGTTCCTGCCGGTGTAAGCGGGAATGAGGAGGAGAGCGGCTTCTGTTTTTCCGCTGTTAGCAGCCTACACATTCGTCGTAGGCTTTGCCCTTTAGGCCTCTGTGCATACTCGCTTCTTGTGTCCAAATTAAAAGAGAAAAACCTATCATTTAAACATGAAGCATAAATGGCCTTCAGTCAGTTCTGTAAGGCGAGCACCCTGTGTTCCACGGAAGTGTAGTTAGGACATCACGCACGGCAGACGGTCGGTGTGCACCTCACATTCACATCGGCTGTGGGGTGAAGCTTCATACTCCCCCACTGGCCGAGGACGAGTGGGGTGCATTAGTGATGTGTGTGTCCGGGAGAGCTGGGCGCCACCCAGTTTATTTACAGCCGTGGTCGGGTAGTGAGCCATTTTGAATAAAATGTACAGAAAGGGTGAGAAGTTGGTTAGTTCCTTCAGTTTTGAAAGAGGATTGCTTGCAACAGATCCCTTCTGGAAGAATCTGTGAGCACGGGGCCCGCTGCCTGTGGCCCAGCCGAGTCCCGCCTGAGTGTCCCAGGCTGGTCATAGCGGCCGTGTACGGTTATGATAGCTTCTAGGAAAATGACAATAGGATTGTGATATTTGGCCTATAAATGAATATAAAATGTCAAGGGTGAGGTTTCCCTTTCTGGTTTGTACCAAAGCACCCTATGACCAGGGGTGACCCTTTAAGAAACTCTTGAGGGCTTGTCTTCTAAGTGTGAATATATACACATTTAATTTGAGTATGTATGTACTTTAGTGATCACTGTGGTTTTATTTCTTCTAAAAAAGAAAAGGGTATAAATAAGCTGCAGTGAAGTATCTCACACCCTGGATTTGATCTCCAGCACTGCAAGAAAACAAAACAAAACAAAACAAACAGAAAAGCAAACCCAAGCTTTTGATTTGGGATTATATTCTGAGGTTTGATTTTATGATTGAAAAAATTATAGAGTTTACCAACTTAGGTTGAGAACTTATTTGTGTCTTCCAGAGTCTCAATCAGTGAAAGGAAGCAAAATGTAATCTTAGTGGAGTAAAAACAAATTATTTTTAAATTTTTTTGATAATGGAATGATTTTTATGTTGAATGTGACAAGGAATCACTTCGGCTTCTTTTAGGCTAAATTATGTCTACTAAAGACTGAAAAACCCAAATAAAGAACCAAAGGAGACACTAGTTTCTCCCACGTATTGTTTAATGTAAAGTTGCTTAGGGAAGAAAGTTGCTGATTTTGGGGATTGGTGGCAGCCGTGGGAACCCTAGCCCTGAAGCATCTTTTTGGATTTTTTTTTTTTTTTTTTTGTCTTTTTCTTTTTTTATTGGTACCAGGGATCGAACTCACGACTGCACACTTGCAAGGCAGGCGCTTATGCCGCTGAGCTAAATCTCCAGCCCCCTGAAGCATCTTTTTAACTCACAGGGATCAAATGTCCATTCTGAGGAACGAGGGCTCTGAACTACAAATGGTAACCTATTTTTTTAGATGCTTTGCTTGAGCATAATTTGGTATTGAATTTTTGGTATTGAATTATTTAGCACTGGGGGTTGAACCCAGGGTGCTTGGCTTCATGCTGAACTATATTCCCAGACATTTTTTTTTTTCGAGTCAAAGTCTTGATGAGTCACCAAGGTGCACATGGCTTGTATTTGAGATCTTCCTGCCTCAGCCTCCCAGAGTGCTGGGATTACAGGGTTTATGTAATATTTTAGATTTTTTAAAATTGATAAGTAAATACCACTCACCAACAAACTGGGCCTTATATCTTCAGCTGATTAAAATAGGGCTTCCAAAAATCGGTCAAGATTGAAAGATGTTATAGAGTCCCTGTATTGAAGGCATTTTGGCTGCTCGAAGGAGGAACAAAATCTCACTGTAAGGTTTTTCTCACACGTGGCAAAATACCTGCTGGTATTTCGGGAGGTTTCGCTGGTGTGCCATCTTTAGATGTAGCCAGAGTTCGTTCTCCAGTCAGTTTTGGTTGCAGAGGGCTGTACTTCAGCCATCTCTAGGGTCCAGGCCTAAGGTGACAGGTGGTGGATTATCACTGTCAACCTTCATGGAAGAGGACAGAACTTGCTGTGTGGTTATATATTGAAAACAGAACAGATAACAAAACCAAAGCAAATAGAACTGGGCCCAGGAAGGTGGGCCCCTTTGGAGCTTCCCGAGCCCATCCTTTATGGATGTCGTCAGACTGGAGTTGTGCAGAGGGTCCCTTTGTCTCTTAGAATCTGTGTGTGGTGTGGGTGCCTGGCCTTCCCACACAGTGATGAGTGTGTGCCCTTGCGTGTGTCTTTTGTTTTACAGACAGATGCCTTCCAGAAGCCGGTTCCGTTGGAACAGCATCCTGACTATGCCGAATATATTTTCCATCCCATGGATCTTTGTACATTGGAAAAGGTTGGCCCCTGTGAACCCACTCCTCTGTTGTAGCCCTCAGTTGTCGTGAGGACTCAGGCCCTGCTTCCGGCTCCGTGCCATCTCTCGTGTTAGATGGTTGCTCATTTTTCCTGCTCTGGTTTTATTTGTGTGGAAGAGCCCTCACTTCTTTGCTCTGTAACATTCTTCCTAGGATGGCGGTGGAGTGTTCAGATCCACTGACGGTACATCTGGGGGTGATTTGAGCTTTGTACCCAAAAGGGGCCATTGCTTCTTTTTGGGGGTGCATTTCTAGGAGTTGATCCCAGAGTGACACACATGCTAGGCAAGTGCTCAGCCACTGGACTCCGTCCCAGCCTGAGTCCCGGCCTTCTAAGGGTTAGAGACCGGGCGGGTTAGAGCCTGGCTTCTTCTGTCTTTTGGAGGTGCTAATCAGAGCAGCAGGAAGAGTGAAGAGAAGATGAGGTATGGGGGAGCCCTTGCTGTTAGCAGTAGGGACACAGCTTCTTAAACTGGACTTACTCTACTGATAAGGCTATTTCTTTATTGCCTGTAGCTGTTTTTAAAATTTCACACTAAAATTCCTTGGTGAAAATTATACCTGTAACACTTTTGATACTTGTAACACATCATTCTGGTGCTGATTTTCAGATTGTTTTGTTGGTGAAAAAACAAAACAAACATTAGTTCATATTATAAGCATGGATAAAACCCCAAACAGCAAGTCCACTCTGTTTTGTTTTTTTCAGTTCTGGGAATGGAACTCACGATCTTGTGCTTAGTAGGCAAATGCTTGAGCTGCTGAGCTAAATCCCCGGCCCATAAGTCCACTCTTGTGGACACTCTATAGTGCATATGTGTGGAGGGAGGACATTCAAGAAAGACAGTTAATCCTAACTTTGGGGTTGGGGTAAATTTCTTTTTCTTCTTAGTGGTGCTGGGGATGAATCTGAGGACCTCATGTATGCTGGGCAAGTTCTCCACTGCCGAGCCACACCCCCTGCCCTTGGAATAAATTTCTTAGCATTACCGTATTTCAGTTTCATCCTCATAAAATAATCGCTACTTCGCTGAGTTTTCATGAGACCATTTGACTCACTTTTCCCCTTCGGTGTGTCCTGTATTCTTTTTCCTTTTTTTAGCTAATTTTTTAAACAATTTTATTTTTAGTACCTATTCACAATACATAGTAATTACATACTTTCAGCTTGGGGGTTCGATACGAGTACGTGGACTCTTGATCAGTTTTAATCCTCCAGTCACTTATGACTTAAAAATAAATAATACACAAGTGTATAAAGTGTCCTCTTCATCAGAAGGCCCTGCTTGATAAATGACATCAGCTTTGAGATGAGAAAATCCAAGTTACCGTGATGAATTCAACCGGTAACTTTTTATAGGGTTATAGATCTTAAAAATAATAGCACCTTGGGAAATGAGTAAAAGAGCATTAATTAATTTGGGAAATGATTGCTAAGAAATTATGTGAGGACGCAGGTGTTACTGACTGTGGATTGCACAGACTCACTGGTGATTATGCGCCAATTTTTCTCTTCCCAGAATGCTAAAAAGAAAATGTATGGCTGCACTGAAGCCTTCCTGGCTGATGCAAAGTGGATTTTGCACAACTGCATCATTTATAATGGGGGTGAGTGGCTCTGACAGTTTCCACCGAAGAGAGAATGCTGTGCGTGCTGCCTTCTCCTGTCCTTTATTAAAAATAAGGCTTCCAAGTCATGTATCAGGGCAAGTGCAGATCGCTGTAACGGGTGAACCCTGGTAATGATGTGCGTTTCAAGGCAGGGGTTCACATCTCAAGTGTCTGCCTGCCGCGTGGAGCGGCTGTCTCTTACTGTCATTCCAAAGTCCACGTGGTAGTGGGGACATAATTACATACAATGAAATGCAGATTATTGTATGTGTACATTAGCGACTGTGACAAATGTGCAACCACAAGCCCAAATAAGATCAAGCATATTACATTCCCCCTTTCCCTATTGGTCAACTCGGGTCCACTGCAATTTTGTTCCCTGTCACTGTGAATTAGTTTTGGATATCCTAGGACTTCTTCCAAATACATCATACAGATTATACTTTGTTTCATTTGGCTGAAATCACTCAGTAATATCTCTGGGATCCATCTCTGTGGTTCTGTATGTCACTGGCTCCTTCCTTTTTTACTGCTGAGTGGTTTTTATTTTGTCAACATCCTGGAGCTGGTCCAGTTATCTTGTTAATTTTTTTTGGTGGTGGTGGGGAATAGCAGGATTGAACTCCGGACCTCATGCTTGCTAGGCAGACATTGTGCCACTGAGCTAAATCCTTGGCCCCTTTAGTTTGGATTTTTGAGATAGGATCTTTCCCTATAGTTCAGGCTGGCTAAATAGGCTTGGCTGGCCTCAGACTCACAGTGATCTTCCTGACTCTGCTTCCTGAGTGCCACCGCACCTGGCACACCTTGTTAATATTGCTAGATATTTAGTGTGTTTCACGTTTAGACTATGATGAATAAAGCTGCTGTGAACACTTGTACAGTTGGTGTGGACGTCTGTTTTTATTTCTGTTTGATAAATACTAGGAATTGGGCTGAGTAGTTGAGTAGGTTTATTTACAACTTTGTGAGAAATGATGCCAGGCTGTTTCTACAGATGTATCATTTTCTGTCCTACTAAAGGCTTATGAGAGTTCTGTTTGCTCTACCTCCTTGTCAACACTTGGTATTGTCTGTCTGTTTGTGGCCATGCAGAAATCTGGGCAGCCGCTGGCGGGTGGTGTCAACTAGGGATTATAGAGAACAGGAAAGTCCTGTTGGTGTGGAGAGGTTGTTGTTGGCAGCCCCACTGCTTTGGTGGTTATACAATGAACAGATCTTGAGTTTTCAAGGCCAGTCCAAAAAGATGACTTTGTGACCATCTTTTCCTTTGATGTGGTGCAAAGTTGAAGGGTCTGGCCTTAGAATTGGGTCAGATGCTCACCTCATTAGCTAAGTGCTCTCCGTGGGCTTACTCATTAATTAAACATGCACACTCTTACTTAGTTCTAATACTAAGAAGCACTGTGCAGCCAGAATGTTCTAGACAGGGCCACCCACATTCCCTTCTTGAGTCTCAGTCTGGGCTAATGAGTGCAATAAAGCTGTTTTCTCCTTTTGTGAGTCTTTAGAAGGTCAAAGGACTTCCCAAGTGTTTTTTTTTTTTTTTTTTTTTTTTTGCTTTTTGCTTTTTATCGGTACCAGGGATCGAACTCATGACTGCCTGTTTGCAAGGCAGGCGCTTATGCCACTGAGCTAAATCCCCAGCGACTTCCCAAGTGTTAATCCATGAACTATAGGGAAACCTATGACAATTACTCAGATTTAGAGAGAACAGCGAGGCTTTCAAGATGAGTTGATTTGATGGGCAGAGTCAGTAATTTGAGGCAGTACAACTAGCCAGAAACCTCAGGATTTTAGCTTTTAAAAACTGAATCCTGGGGGAATGCATGTGGAGTACAGCCTTGGGGTGGTGTTGGGGAGCACCACCCAGCAGCTCTGAGCAGGATTTAAATTCTACTAATTGGCTTTCTGTGTTTATCTGTGAGTCTGTCCTAGGCCTCGGCCCCTTGCCTGGCGAGGGGAGCTGACTCATAGTAAGTGAACCTCTATGAATCACTGGGCCTGGCTGAGGCCTGTAGTGGCCTGTGAGGCCAGAGATACCTCAAAGGGCAAGATAAGGCCACAGCTGAGGACACTTGGCTCCAACATTAATTAAGTAAATAGAGACTGCTGCTGCAGGAACTTCACTCCTGCAGCCCAATCCCACCATAAATGTTATCTTGGAGATAAGATGGTCCTAAACAGCCTTAACCTACTGCTTTGAAGTGACCCCCACCCCAGGTCCTGCTCATATCCTGTGCTTTCCTCAGTTTCTCCGTCTTTTTCTTAGTACTAATAAAAGTGGGTTAATCCAGAGAATGCTTTGTCATAGCCCTCCTGAGTTTCGAGCTCAACTAAAGGGTTTTGACCCTCCTGGAGCCCTAAAATGCATACAGTTTGTCTCTTTTTATTTAACCTCTACCATACACTCATTTGGAAGATCGGGGATCTAGGTCAGGCCCCGATAACCTGGGGTGTAGGAAATCTCTATTAAAATTAATCCTTTTTTCTTATTCCCTTAGGAAATCACAAATTGACACAAATAGCGAAAGTAGTCATCAAAATCTGTGAACATGAGGTATGTTTCCTGCCATCCCGTGGTGGCTGCATCCAGAGTGCTGTGTTGGGGGGCTGTTTCATTTGGAATATCACCTAGTGGGTGACTGTTGTTTTTGGAATTTGTTGAGGAACAGATAGCACTTCCTATCTTTGAAAAAGTAGAAGTCACATTGAGGGGGCACTGGTGCTTTGTAAAACCCCTTCGATCCCAGTAGTGATCTGAGGCAGACAAAACCATTTTTTAGATTTCTCTCAGAATCACAGCCCTGCACTGGGCTTCCTGAAATGTCTTGCTTGCCCGGATTGAGCTCCACATTTCTGACCTTGGCCCCATAATCTGTGGTGTCGCGACAAGGCTTTTTCTGTTTTCTTGTGGAGGAGGTTTAGGGTTGGACCTTGGGGGAAAGGTTTCAGGTATTTCCCAGAGGGTGGCCCAGGCGACCTGGAGAGGAGAGGAGAGGAGAGCGTCCTCTTGCAGATGCCTGTGGTTCTGACCAAGTGGACTCAGGGACAAGCTGGGCTTGCAAGCCGTGACGTCCTGGTGGTGTGGGATGAGGTAGGAGAAAGGTCTTCTGTTCTGGATCCCCACTGTATGAATAAAAACTGAGATGCAACAGTCTTGGACCTGTCTCTGTGCCGTTATTCTTTCCTCAGAAAAACTGCCTGCTGTCACTGGACGTAGTATATGTGCATATTTTTGTTTTACTAGATAATGAAGCACACAGGAAGCACTAAAGTTTTCATGGCTATGCAGTATTCCCACATGCAGCTTATGAACATTTTTTTAATGATTCATTTGTCCTTTAGCTAATAGTACCTAGTTTTGCCACCACTTTAAATAAGATGAAGATGAGTGTGATGATTTGCTTAGGTTTTAGAATTACAGGGACCAGATGTGGCCCTAAACACTGCAGAAGTTTTAGGTGGATATGTCTGATTGCTTTCCAGAAAAGCCATAGCAATGTGTACAGCACCCTGATAGTTCTTCTGATACCCTTTCTAACATTGTGTATTCTAATTTTTTCTGTATTTACTTACTTTTAGTTTTTATGTTTTTTAAAAAAATTTTATTAGTGCATTTTAGGTACACATAAGGATCACATTCATCATAGGAGTGTTCTAATTTTAAAAACATTTGTACATCTATTCTGTCTCCCATATGATATTTAGAAATTTGCATTTCTCTGTTAACTGTGTTGATGGGCTATTTTTTTTCATGTGTGGTACTTTTGAATTAATTAGTCCAGAGGCAGGACTAGGAGGAGGAAATGCATTCCTTCATGAATGCTTTCTTTCTTTCTTTCTTTCTTTCTTTCTTTCTTTCTTTCTTTCTTTCAAAAAGTCTGCTAATGATGGGGAGATAATAGTAGCTAACTGCCAGGGGAAAGCTTATGGGCTTTGGAGTCCAGCTGCATGGTTTCGAATCTAACCCCTCTGATTTTGCCACTGTAACCCTTGAGGAGACTACACTGACATCTTGGGACCTCCTTGTCTCCTTCGATAAAATGGGCGTGACATGTCTTTTCTTATCCGGGCTTATGAGGAATAAATGAATCAGTACCCTTTGAACCTGTACGTTACAAAGCACGCTATATCTGATAATGATGGCGGTGTCGTTTATCTCATTTAGATTTTATAACCCCGTGGGGGTAGGTGCTGCTCTCATCCCTGTTACACCAGTGTGAAGTGGAGGCCTGGGAGAAATAAGTAGCTTTTCCTGAAGTTATTTTGCTAAGTAGATTGTGGAGTCTGCATGCAGATCAAAGAGCTTCTTGGTGGCTAGCTCAAAGTCATGATGTTGTCTTGCAGAATGTACTGTCTTAAGAGGGGAAGGACAATAAAAAAAACTGTTGAATTTTCCTCTTGTCCTTAATGGAAGTACAGTAGGGCAATTTGGTATTAGTTGTGACTAGACAGGCATAGAGATGGGGTGTGGCACGGGGTGGGGGGTGGACCGCCTGGCAGGGAGGAGGCCAGACTGTCTAGAGCAGTCAGAGGTGATCTCAGATTCCAGGGCTGAGCCTGGACTGCACATGACCTTGAAGAGGCCCATGGGTTTAGATTTTGTTAGTTTCACAACATTACAATTCTGACTTTTGGAGCTACAAAATTCTTTGTTGGAAGGGCTGACCTACAGATCAAAGCTGCCCCGCCCCCTCGAGTTTTAACAATCAAAAATGTCTCCAGACACTGCCAAGGGTTCTCAGTTCGGGGGGGGGAGATCACCTGTCCCGGGTACACAGAACTGGGGGTGCGATGGGAAGTCACAGGGGCAAGACAAGCCCGGACTTCTGTGTGTAGGAAGTGGCTCTGGCTGCTTGGTGGGCGGTGCACCACAGCGGAGCCAGAATGGAGGCTGGGAGAACTGGGAACCATCACTTAGGGTACCTGGGACCCCAGGCAAGGTCTGCTTGAGCCCAGAAGTTCTAGGCAACATAGCGAGGCTCTGTCTGGCTAAAAAAAAGGAAAAGAAAATCAAATCTACACATAAAAGCACAACACTTACAGGATCAGCCATTTTTGAGAGGCTGTTAGATGTCAGGCCCTTGGCATGATGACACATCCTAACGTATTTTTGCTTTACAGATGAATGAAATCGAAGTATGTCCAGAATGTTACCTAGCTGCTTGCCAAAAACGAGATAACTGGTTTTGTGAGCCTTGTGTAAGTTTCATGTACTTTCCTTGTTTCATTTTTTGAACTCTGCATGCCTTTGTTGGCTCCCCCAGTCAGCCTTCTCCAAGGGCTTAGGAGACAAAACTTTGGTTGATGTTTTAAAATAATAATTTTTGTTGATAAAATTATTGTAGAGTGAAAATCTAGTGAATAAGATAAATGCTCTGGTGGCAGCCTAGCACCCTACCTAGTTCTTGGGTTAGTCATTTTCAACAAACTGCAAAATGTAGAGTTGAAGGAAGGTTACCAGAGATGTGGGATGTGACCAGCACTTCCGTGGAGGATGTGAACAGTGAATGAGCATGCCATTTGTAGACTGTTTGGGGCCCCTTAGGTATTTTTTTTTTTGGCACTGCTGGGGATCAAACCCAGGGCTTTGCTCATGCAAAGTTAGTGCCACAGCAGAACACAACACACACAACAGGTTAGAAATACAGAACTGACAGGAAACCAGTGATTTTCTACAACCTACACGCCACCCCACCTCCAAGAAGGACTCGGAGGTACACCCAGGAAAGTATTTCCAGACCTCTTCAGACAGACCCAGCACAGGCTATGGATGTGTTGTGTTCTGCTGTGCAGTACTGGGATGAAACCCAGCGTCTCCCTCATGCAGCCAGGTGTTTTCTAGAGAAGAGTGCATTGTGGGGTGGCCTGGAGTGTGTGTGGGAGAGAGGGAGGGGCCAGAGGGAGGGCCAGAGAGAGCAAGACCGGGCAGGTAAATAATCTGAACATACCTGGAGTCTATTTGCCTTAGGAGATAAATACCTGAATGGCCAAGGCTCTGCAGAGCCCCCTACAGAATAAAGGTGGTTACTGCTGTCCTTCAGACACTGGCCCTGGTGCACATTTAGTCAGACAGGGAAGACCCTGAATAAAAGAATTCTCTGGCCCTCTGCTACCCAAGTGACAGCAGAGCCGGGATTCAAACTTCCTCTTTTGGCCTGTGCCTCTTTTTAAGTCCCTTCCCACCTTTGGCCAGGTATCGTGGCCACGTAGCTTCTAGGTAATTTCACATAGACAGGCCCTGCTTTAAACTTTCCGCTTGTGTCCTGTGTGATTTCTGCTGATCTGCACTGTCCTCACATAATGAGCTTTCATGTGTATCTCGCTGCCAAATATATACAAACCCTGGATTTTTTTTTCTTCTAGAGCAATCCACATCCTTTGGTCTGGGCAAAACTGAAGGGCTTTCCGTTCTGGCCTGCAAAAGCTCTGAGGGATAAAGACGGGCAGGTCGATGCCCGTTTCTTTGGACAACACGACAGGTGGGAGTTCAAAACAGGCTTTCAACATGTAGCTTCAACTGAACCTTTACTGTCAATGGATAGGAAAAGAGGTGGAGGGTATGGCTATTATTACTGTCGTCATTATCCATTTTGTTTTAAAAAAGCAAATTTTTTTGTTGGTAGCCGGTATGGCTATTATTTTATTGTCATGGTTCCACCCATTGGTCTCGCAGTTGAAAAATATTTTTGTGTGTGCTACATTAAGCCTGATACTGTGTGGGCATCAGTTTTTTCCAGGTATTTTAGAAAATATTCTTGCCTCGGTGGTTTTGTTGATGAAACTAGCTTTGGAATGAGTTCCATGTCTATTTCAAGTGCTGCTATTCTTTATTTATTTTCTAGAGTAAATTAAGCCACCTTGCAAATTGCTTTTCAAAGTAATGCTTTCAGGGATCAGAAGTATTTTCCCAGATTGCCAGTAAATGAATCTCTTATCATTATGCTGAATAGTTCCCTCCTGTTCCCTTTTCTCTGTAGCTAAAATGGGAAATTATAAGGGGATGCTGCTTTGACAGGTGCGAGCACTCCCTGCCTGCCTTCCTGCTCTCCCCTTTCCTTCCCTACACGGTGAAGTGAATTATTCTAGCTAATAGCAGTTCCCTTTAGAGCAGAGCCCCTGTGCGCTCGAGAACAACAGGTACTCAGAGATGAGCGGCGGTTAATATCTCAGTTCTCTCCTAGCATGTTATATTTTGATTAAATGGGCAAAGACTTACAAAGCCCCCCCAGGCCGTTTAGGAAAGCGTCTGAGTACATAGGGGAGACTACTTAAACACACAGGATAAAAATTATATGCCCCCACAGAGTAAACAGCAAATATAGCTTATAATTTTAAATAACACACTAGCTTCTGAAATGCCACTTTCTCTGTCAAATTTTGCTGGAAATCTTACAGATCAAAGAAAAATACGAACTTCAAAGGAATCAGGTTCCTTCCTAGAAATCCCAACTGTGCCCTGTCAGCAGACAAAATGGAAATTTGTGGAGCTGGTACTGGGTTTGGATGGAGAATCACACTTTGTTTTTAACCGGTCTTATTGGCAGTCTCTCTGAAATTCATTAATTCCTTCTTTCAAAGAAGTGTTTGCATTTAGTGCCTGCTCTGGCTCCGTGCTGTTTGCAGGGATGGTGCGTGAGCTGCAGAGAGACTGCCCTGCCTGGGTGAGGCTGCACCCTACCTAGCAAGGGAGATGGGTGCTACCCAAGCCATCAAACAGGCTTCCCGTCCCAGATCAGGAGCTGATGGAGAGCTGGGTATGATGATTTGGCTTGGAAGGATCAGCAAGAGTTGTGGCTTGGTGGTGAGGGGCTGCGTGTGCCCGGTATGGGCTGTACCCAGAGAGGAGAGAGGCTCGGGAGGATGGGGTCACAGGCTGGGCAGGAATTTGGTTTTTGAAGAGCAAGACAAATGGCTCCAGGCTATATAGGTCATTCCAGGTCTTCATCAGAGCGAAGGTGTAAACTGTCTTGATGATTTAGGCTCCTTACTCTAGGTAGTACAGTGTAGGTGTGTGTGTGTGTATATTGGGATGTAGGCAGCTAGGGACAAAGCAGTGTTTACCCTGTGCACCAAATACTTCAGGTCCTCACAGTTGCTGATCCTGTACCCCCAGCTCTCAGCAGCCTGCTGAGACCTCTCGATCCTCACCTGCCACACAGCCACTGAAGGGGGCTTAGGTGGCACGAAGGATGCTGTGGGAGCTGTGCTGCCCCCATGTGTGGAGGCCGTTTTGAAGAAACTTGCTTAGTCCTTGCTTCTGGATGGGAGTTGGCCTGAAAGTTGGGTTTTTCTCTTTGTGAGTTTCCTGACCTCTCTTGGTGGCCTGGTTGTCTTTTATCCTAAGGACTATGTCACCCTATTAACTCATTCGAGTTCAGGGGATCCCAGTGATGGAGACTGGAAGTACATTTCATAGTACAGGGTCAGTGCTTTGCAGGGCCCAGATGTCTTGTTGCTAGCAGCAGGGAATGGAATGGTTCACAGAGGACTCGCTTGTTCTGGGGGAGCCTGCTGCCTCCCTGTGTGGATTGGAGTTGGTGGGGCGGGTGTGCGGGCAGCCTGCTGTGGCAGAAGCCAGGAGCGTCCAGGCGTGGACAGCCGGGGGTTGTGGCAATGCTGTCCCTTCTTCAGGGAGCTCACTTCGGTGTAGTGGAACCAAAATATAACCTAGTCATGGACGGGCGAGCCAGGTGAGGATTGCAGGGTGAGCGCACATGGTATCCACGTGCTAATTGTCAAGCTGATATGTGTTAGAGGGAGCCCAGGGAGGCTCTCGCACAAATCTGGGGTGTTCTGGAGAGTCACAGCATGCTGTGTGCCCTTCAGAAGTATTTCCCTGATTTTTTTCCTTTTAGACGCGCACGCACAATTACGTTAGCTGAGCGGGATGTGGTGGGGCACCCCTATCATCCGAGCCACTTGGGAGGTGAGGTAGGAGGAATTGGTGGAGCTGAGGGGTTCAAGGCCAGGCTGGGTAATACAGTGATACCCTCTCTACCCCCATCCCCAAAGAGAAACAACAACAAAATAAGAACTTTCAGTACTAAATGCTTACAATTTTTTTCTTTTTAAATAACTAGACTGCCAGTAACAAAGTGCCTTCTGTGTACCAGGTACTGCTGGAAGTGCTTTCTTGGAGATGCTGCTTTTGTTTGTTTTTCTGATAAGAAAACTGAGACCCAGAGAGGCTAATGTCTTGCCCAAGGTCACTCAGCCCAGATGTAGCCAGGTTGGGTAGAGCCGGGAGCGGTGGCCATAGCACTGGACTTCTGTCGCAGGCTGCCGTGGGCTCCTCATGGTACGTCCCTCCCAGGGGCTTTTCACAGAAAAGCAAATCTAACTTCCCTTTATTTCCTGGGCCTGGTCTAAGGAGAGAGACACTTGCCTGACAAGGCCCATGAAAGTTATGTGAGTCACTGCAGGAAAACGGCAAAGGCCTTGCAGCCAGATAGAAGTTTGGGGAAATAGCACGAGGCCTTGGCTCCAGGCTGATAAGCCCCAGGGCCTGATACTGGCCCTGGCCCCTTTTGGGTGGCCCCTTTATCCCGCAGCAGATAGCAGTCACCTTCTGTTTCCTGTTGACCACACCTAGGTAGGCTCTGGGGCAGCCCTGGGGTCCGTCCTGTCTCCCGGAATAGATCTCTGTCCCTACGCGGAACAGTGTCTTGTCTGCAAGATGGTTTGCTGCTTCTGCAGCTTCCAGCGGAAAAGCAGCTTTTGGGATGTATGGGAAGGTGGGGGTTCAGCACACTGAGAGGAGCAGCCCCTTTGTGGGGAGGGGGATTCAGTTTCAATTTGTCACCATCTGTTATCACCAAGGGTCACAGGCAGTCTGTCCCATGATGCACCTCCTTTGTTTTCTCTTAAAATGCAGGGAGTTTGATGCCAGCCATGGACAAGGATGAAGTACAATAAGCCCATTCTTCCTGCTTCTCTTCATAGCTAGGGCAGACTGGGCGTTGGGTCTTGTCTTTGAGCTCAGGAAGCCTCTTCCTTCACTTCCCTGATGGCTAAATTACTTCCCATGGTTTTGTGCCTGGCTTCCGTTCGTGGATCATGGAATTCCAAAGGCCCTTTTGGAAAAGCTTATTGCCATGGCAGTTTCCAACCACAGGTTGGGGCCGGGGAATCAGAAGTGGTGGCAAAGTTGGGTTCTGGTGTCTGCACCTGCTCCGCTGCCACCTGCAGTGGCAGGTGTGGTGTGCTCTGCCGTGGCCTCTCCTCTAGTCACAGGGCCACTGGTTCTGGAACAGTGACCGGTGCTGCTGCTATTCTTAAATGTGTGTCTGTAGAGCCTGGAGAGCTGCGGGGCAGGAAGATGGAACTGGCTTGAAGCAGGAAGTGGGAGGTGCACCCTGAGGCTAAAGGGCTGCTGTGTAGTAGTGGTTTTTCTGTGTGGATTATCTCACATTCAGAAACACGCACCTCCTCCTGGGAAAGTGGGTTTCCAGAGTTTCCTGCTCTTTTAGAACTGGGCTGAAAAAAGGAAGCTTTCTGGGTCCTGTGCAGCTGATGGAGGTCTGGGGAATAATTCTCTAGAGGTGCAGCCAGGGACTCAGTGGCTGGCTTATTCTCTACCAGCTGCAAACTCAAGGGCATTTAGTGGATTTTTAAAGGATTAAAATGCTAAGCCTTTTACATCTTAGCTGGGTTTTGTTTTTCGTGTTTTGTCTTTATGGCAGGACTTGTCTGTTAAGTGGATCATTAATTAACCATCCAAACCAAGACTTTTTATTTAGAAAGAAGATAAATAAAAATCTTGGCAGGCACACTAGGAAAATTTGGTTTCCATTAATAAAAATAACAATCATTGAAGATGACTAAAGTGGACTCGAACCCTGTTTCTCTTTTGCCCTTCTAGGGCCTGGGTCCCAATCAATAATTGCTACCTCATGTCTAAAGAAATTCCCTTTTCTGTGAAAAAGACAAAAAGCATCTTCAACAGTGCCATGCAAGAGATGGAGGTTTACGTGGACAACATCCGCCGGAAGTTTGGGGTTTTTAATTACTCTCCGTTCAGGACACCGTACACGCCCAACAGCCAGTACCAAATGCTGCTGGACCCTTCCAACCCCAGCGCCGGCACCGCCAAGATCGACAAGCAGGACAAGGTGAAGCTCAACTTCGACATGACGGCGTCCCCCAAGATCCTGATGAGCAAGCCCATGTTGAGCGGCGGCACGGGCCGCAGGATTTCCTTGTCCGATATGCCGCGCTCGCCCATGAGCACGAACTCCTCGGTGCACACGGGCTCCGACGTGGAGCAGGACGCGGACAAGAAAGCCACGTCCAGCCACTTCAGCGCCAGCGAGGAGTCCATGGACTTCCTGGAGAAGAGCACAGGTCGGTGGGGGCAGGGGCAGGGTGAGGGGGGCGAGGGGGGTGAGGGGGGCGAGGGGGGCGGGGGGGGGCACAGGTGGGGGAAGAGCACAGTGCACGCTGCCTGGAGCACGTGGTGGGGGGAAGGGCACGGTGCACGGAGCACGGGGTGGGGGCGGGGCAGCGCAGAGCCTGCGTGTCCCCAGGTTCCCAGGTGCATCCCCAGGTGCTCCCCCAGGTCCCCAGGTGTGTCCCCAGGTCCCCAGGTGCGCCCCCAGGTCCCCAGGTGCAGCTGCTCCGGCCCGTCAGCAGTTAAACAAAGGCTTCTGGTTTGGAGAAGCAGCTTAAGGTCCTATAATGGATTTTTAGTCAGTGCAGCTGTATTCCTTCAAAATAAGAAAAGCTTCCCAAAAGCTTCCTGGGAGGTATTCTGTCATTTATTTATTGATTGATTTGATTTAAAATTTTTCCGTTAGGAGCGTGTTTGGAGTAGCGAATGTTTACATTCATCTTTGGGAGTCGGTGTGTTTAACGTATCTTGAGTTCCTTTTATTCTCTGCCTTCCTCTCCCTTCTCCCCGCTTCCTCTCTGCAGCCCCTTCGCATTTGCAAAAGATCTGACTCTGGTTTTTTTTTATTGTTTGTCATTTTTATTTCATTAAAAAAATTTCCATGCTTTAGGTTTCTCATATAAGAAGTTATGCTGTATCTAAGCATTTGTGCTGATATATTTCATTTAACTGGTCTCAAGGTGTAACACTTCCTATGTCTCAAGTTTATCCTTTGTGACAGGGTAGTATTCCAGCATGTCTGAGTACATTTTCTTTATCTAGTTATATGTCGGTTGATACATAGGTTACTTCGAAGATTAGTTAGGGGAGTCATGTTCCTATAAATACAAATAGGCATGTATTACTGTAATGTACTATGTTTAATTTTGGAGCAAACTTGCCTAGAAGGGGAATACCTGGATTTAATGGAATTTTTTAGTTTTAGTTTTTTGAGGAATGTCCCTGTTGATTTCTGTAGTGGTTGTACCAGTTTACATTTCCAACAGTGTTGAAGGGTTCCTTTATCCCTGTATCCTCCCCAGCATTTGTTGTTATTTGATTTTTTGATAACCATCTTTCTGGGGAAGATGAAATGCCATTGTGGTTTGAATTTGTGTTACTCTGATGACCAGAGATTTTGAACATTTTTTCATTGTCCATTTGTTCTTCTGAGAAGTACCTGTTCATTTTAGCTTGTTCATTTTTTGTTTGAGTCTTTTTGTTTTTTTTTTGGTAGTTCATATATTCTAGACATTAGTCCTCTGAGGATTAATTAGCAAATTTTTTTCTCATTTTGTAGATTGTTTCCTTTACTGTGTAGTAGCTTTTTAATCTGATGATAATCTCATTTGTTAGTTCTTAACACTATTTCTTGTGCCGTTGGGATTCTATTTGGAGAGTGTTTTCCTATTCCTTTGTCTTTAAGAATTTGACGTGTTTTAATCACCAGCACATTGTGTTTTCATTTTAATATTTACATCTTTATTGATTTTGATTTTATCTTGGTGATACATAGATTTAGATTTAATAGCCTGTGTGCATGCAGCCAGTTTTCCCAGCACCATTTGTTAAAGATGCTCTCTTTCTTCCATAGTGTTTCTGGTCCCCTTTTCAAAGATCAGGGTTTTTTTTTTTTGCATATTGTATTTTGTTCTGTTGACCTGTGTTTCTGTTTTCGTTGTAGTATCATGCCCAGAGTTGCTTTTGCTGTTTTGGGTCTTTTCTGGTTCCTTGTAAATTTGAGGATAGCTTTTTCTGGTTTTGTGTGTTGTTGGTATTTTGATTGGGATGGCTTTAAATCTGTATGTCAGTTTTGATAGCATGGCCATTTTGACAGTATTGGTTCTGCCTGTGCAAGAGTTTCCACTGTCTGATGACCTTTTTGATTTCCTTTTTTAGAGTACTATAGTTTTCACAGAGGTTTTTAGGTTAACTTTTAAGTATTTAATTTTTCTTTTGATTAAGTTTATGGGTATAGTTTAGATACACAAAATGATCACACTCATTATAAGGAATTGGTACCTATACATGATATAACTTGATTCTTATTTTTCTCCATTTTCTTCCCCTCCCTCCAACTCTTTCTCCTTATTTACAAAAGCTTTGCTGCCACTTTTTCCTTCTTTTCTCATCTTTTGTTGTCCCCTCCTCCTCCCTTGTTCTCCTTCTCATTGGAATATTTTCTTCCCATTCCCCAGGATCTCTTACACATTTTGGTCCTTACTGACATGTTTGGTTTCTCACACCAGAAAAACAGTGTGCTACTTAAAGGCGTGTCTGATTTATGTCACTTTAGAGTGTGGTCTCAGGGTTTCCCCATTTAGCTGGGGATGTCTCAAGCCTACCTTGCTTTATGGCAGTCATACTCTGTTGTTAAAAAGCCCCCACATCTTCTTTACCTGTTCCTCGGTTCATGGGCATTTGGGCTGTTTCCAGACTGTGCCGCTGTAAACATGGGTGTGCATGCATCTCTGAGGTATGGTGCACATTAGATTTTGATTTCCACAGTGGTTGCAATAGTCCACACTCTGCAACAGTCCAGGAGGGTTCCTTTCTCCCCACAGCCCCACCAGCATTTATTACTGGTTGATTTCTTGCTAATAACCATTCTTTATGGAGTGAGATGGGATCTTTGCAATGTGTTAATTTGCATCTCCTGCATGAATAGTGATGTTGAACATTTTTTTCTTGTGTTTTTTGCCATCTCTACTTTTTCTTCCGAGAAGTGTCTATTCATTTAAGATACCCTTTTTTGGATTGGGTCTTTAAATGGGGAGGATCTAATTTTTGAGTTATTATTCTTTGCATCGTCTAGCAGCTAGCTGTTGGATTTGTCTTCATGGTTTCTGCCTCAGCCTCCTAAGTACTGGGATTACAGGTGTGCACCCTCATAGCTGTCTGGTCTGTAATTGGCCTTTTCGTTATTAACCTGTTGCAAGATCCTGCCTCTTCAATTTATTGGGGGCCAGATGTTGCTGTTTATTTGGCCAGCCTTGGATTCTTCGACACTGACCTATAGTATTGTTTATGACCCTTAGTCAGTCTCAGTCTTGGCATATGAGCAAGAACAACTGATCAGAACAACTTTGTCACCTTGGCCGGAGTAGTACAGTCAGCAGAAACAGTAGCATCGAGCACAGTCTAGAAGAGGACAAACTGTGGTGACTATTACTTTGCTACCTTTAACCGTATGAAATATTGTGGTCATATAACAAAATCTAAAACAAAGTAGAAAATGGTGCATGGTAAATGTGCCCGCAGGATGGTGATTGTGCTCTCCGGTGTGTAAATTTAAAAGGGGCTGGGAGAAACAATAGAGAAATACAGATTAGAAGAGGCTGGAAAACAGGAATATTATCCAGGCTTTGGGAAACTGGTGAAGACAGGGAGAAGGAGAAGGAAGAAATAAAAACAAGAACTGAACAGAGCAATGAAACTAGCAACAACGTTCACACTAAGAAAACAACAACAAACACAGACTGGTGTGGTGGCGCCTCTAAACCCAGCACTCTGGGAGACGGAGGCAGGAGGATGGTTAGAGAGGCCAGCCTGGGCTCCACAGAGTTCAAGTCCAGGCTGAACTGCATAGCTAGACCCTGTTTTTTTTTTTTCCTCTCTTTTTCATTTTTATCTGTACCGGGGATTGAACTCACGACTGCCTGCTTATAAGACAGGTGCTGATGCCACTGAGCTAAATCCCCAGCCCCTGTTTTAAACACCAGAAAACAAGACAAAAATGCCCCACAAGCAAACAACCATCAGAAAACCCCTGCAAAACCAAGAATAGCCAGGGATTTAGCTCAGTGGCATAAGCACCTGCCCAAGGTCCTGAGTGTGATTCCTAGTACAAAAAAAAAGTCTGCCTGAAGGCGAGTCTGTGCTGTTACTGGAAGACAGAGTTAATCCCAGCAAGCCAGCTGTAGGTCTGTGGTGTGTGCGGCAGAGGATAATCCCAGTGAGCCCACACATTTGGTTCTGCTGAAGTTCAGACTGGTTTTCAGCTGAAAGGCCGGACCCCAGGTTAGCCTGCAGTACTCCCATGCCTCCTGCCAGCTTGAACTCTGCTTCCCTGACCCCAGCACCAGCCTGCAGCTGTTCTGGGTCCCCAGCTCATTTGGCTCCTTTCCCAGATGGCTACTGGCCAATAGCCTTCTCCTGGGCCATGTCTGAACTCCAGTAACTCCCCCGCCACTTCAGTCCCGTGTGTACTGTCCCATGCCACTGGTGTGCTTCTGCATGGAGGTCTCTGTGGTCACCGGTACTAACTGTGGGTCTGCAGGCTCTGGGCGCCCTTCCCATGCGGTGAGCTGGGGCTCAGGGGAAAGCCGCCTCCTCCCGTGAGGTCTCTTCACTGTCCTGCAGGCTTCAGTTCTCCCTGCAGACCCTTGCTCTTTCCCTCCTCCTCCTCCTCCTCCTTCTCCTCCTCCTCCTCCTCCTCCTCACGTTGCTATATTCCAGTGTCTGGACACTAAGTCCAGGAAAGGCTTTTTCTAGTGTTCACTACTCTGCCATCTTCCCAAAACCCTCAAAATTGTCTTTATTTGAAGGCTGCCCACAGAGTAGGGTGTGGAATGTGGTAGTCCGAATCAGGAGACTGCAAAGGAAAGCTGAGGGTCTGTGCCAGAGCGAATTTTATTTTAAATAAGACTTTGGCCTGGGGATTTAGCTCAGTGGCCTAAGTGCCTGCCTGGCAAGTATGAAATTGTAAGCTTGGTCCTGGTACCAAAAAAACAAAACAAAAAAAACCCCAGGAATTTCGCAGGTTGGGGGTACAGCCCAGTGGCACAGTGCCTGCTTGGGAAGAACAAGGTCCTGCATTTGATTCCCAGTACCAAGGAAAGAATTCCTCCATATATTCACATTAAACTGCAGTGTTAGAGAAGGCTTGCTGGTACTGGAGGTCACTCTTTCAAGGTCACCTTGTCAGTGTTGCTTTGCACTTTAGAGACAGGCTCTGGTCGAGTCATGAGGACAC